TTTTATCTTTTGGCACAAAACCCGGTTTGAAGTCGATTAATTGACGTAAATGTAAATCAATCAGACAATCGCTAAATTGAGTTTCGAGTGGATGAAAATTTTTCAACCTTTTTCTAGCCAAAGTCAGGATAATTTAAAGCAATTGTCTATTTTTACGAAATTTGTCATTTGAAACTCGACCCTAAGGCACGTGGTTACATAAAAGGGACTTACTTCTTCGATTTTAAGACTAGTCCGGATGACTTTTCGCCGGACTTCCGTCTCGTAGGTTTCCTCGACCGTTTCGGCCATCGTTGGGAAAATTGTCACAGTTTACAAGGGGAAAATTCAACACTTTCGTCACTCGAACTATTCGCCGTGGAAACGCGTGCAAGACTGAAGCGTCAGGCTAAAATTAATTTTCTTGACTGAACGGAAGTTGCCTACAACCATGTCCTACTACTTGTATTAGTCTGTCGCCGTCGTACAATTGTGTGGAAAACACACATAGATTCATCTTCAATGAAGAAGAAGAAAAATTGCGAAGTGGCGGTACTTTCGTAACGGCTGGGTGAAGGTTTCACTTACTTCCGGTGGTTGTATAAGAGAGAGGATGATGTTTGAGTGTTTGTTTGAAACTGGTGATTAGAACCAAAATTGCATCACCGAAAAGAATTAAAAAAAAACTACTTGATGGCTTGATGGTTCATAAAATAATAATAATTTACTTTGTAATTAGAAGCTTCTTAGTATGAGGCTTTTTATGTCAAATATTTCTGAAGTCATAAACTAGTTATGTAAACAACCTAGTAAATATTTTAGTTTATGACATCTAAATAAAGTCTGGTCGAACGAAAATATAATTCCGGAAAAAATCAAAAAAATTGTTTTGGTTTTACTTTTATTAGCAAGAAATTATATAATAAAATTTTGAATATTTTTAAGATAAATAATTTTCGAAACTATAAGTTATTTAACTTTTCTAAAACTTCTACATTCTTTTTATCTTTACAAGTGCAAAACTTTTTTAGAAAGTATTTCCGGGCATAAGCCCATTAGTTTTGTTTTTCTATCTTAATTAAAAGAACCACTGTTTAAAATCTTCAACGTTTTTTTGAGACATTCTGTATAAAATTTTCTGATTTTATACCTTTTTATTAATTTGTAATAAACTAAGTAGGTATTTATTTTATTTCTAAGTTTATGTGTTTGAAATACACTAGCCGCCAAAATTAATTTTGCGATTTTTCACATTGCAATATTTTTGTTATTTTTTGTCGGATTTCGACGAATTTTTGTTTGGTCTAAAGAAAAAATTTTGCAGATTATTGTAATTTAATTCAATAACATTTCTAGTTTTGTCTTCTAAATGTGATACTCAAAAGACGAAGGCACTGTTTTTTATACTGAGCTGTGGTGTGCGGAAGAGACAAACTAAGTTTTTTCTGATTTCAGATTATTGCCCGTTCTTTTCTGAATGAGGGCGAATTTGTTCAAAAATTTTATTTTCTAGTGCCCCAGAGATACAAAGCATCGAAAAAGACGTTGCTTTTCTAATGTTACTAAATATTCGTTCGTAGGCTACATAAAAAAGTGGTTAAACCGAAAATTATTGCGTATCACCAAAAGAGCACAATTACGTTTTTGAACACAAAAAATCTGAAAAACCTGGAACTTCAAAGAATTACAGCAAGTAAAACGGTTAATTAATGGAAACTTGTGCCTATTTTGACGTTTTGGCACATTCAATCTACTTAATACGAACATTCATTGAAATCGGAAATGTAATGCTTTTTTTAAATGCTTAAATGTTTATATCTCTTATGTCTCAAAAATTAAAATTATGGAAAATGTGGTACATAATTCAGAAATGAATGGGCAATAATCTGAAATCAATAAAAACTTAAGTTTGTCTCTGTCGCACACCACAGCTCAGTATGAAAATAAGTAAAAAAATAGTGCCTTGGTCTTTTGAGTATCACATTTAGAAGGCAAAACTAGAAATATTATTGAATTAAATTACAATGATCTACAAGGTTTTTTCTTTAAGCCAAACAAAAATTCAAAGAATAACAAAAATATTGCAAGGTGAAAAATCCCAAATTTTAGTTGTTCGGTTAATTTTGGCGGCGGTGTATTTGCAAACATAATATTAAAGCAGCAGCTGCTGTTATCAGAGAAAGGAACTTAAATGCATATAATATTTATTACTTTTAAATTAAAAATGATTATGTTAATTGCAATATAAATATGAAACGCAAATTTAAAACTGAAAGCGTATAAATGATAAACAAAGTAAAATGCAATTCAATGTAGCTAGTCTACATTTTAGTATTAAAATAAATAATTCAAATCTTTATTTAAATTACTATTCTGCTGTTAGAAAATTTAATAAAGCAAATATTTTGAAGTGTCATTTCTAAATCCCATATTGTTTGAACAAAACCTTGCATTGTCTTTTAAGAAATAATTTCCTTATTCTTTAAGAAAAGAAAAAACAATTAAGTCTTTTGTTGTTTAATTTATGCTTAGATTTCTTTATTGTTTGAGTGTAAAACATGAGAATGGGACATGAAACATAATTTGTGATAAATTATCGCTGACATTTTTTTTTATTTAAATTTCTTCGCGTAACTGCTCTTTTAATAAATGCATTGTTAACTGTCTAATGCTCACGAATTAATTATCTCTTACTTTCTTAATTTTTAACTATCAAGCTAATTTACGTTTCCATTAGCACAAAACTAGCCTTACGGATATTCTTGTATTACTGGTACTGTTAGGCCAACAATTGATCGTGTAAATAAGTCAAAGTTAATAAAAGATTCCTTGTTACGCTATCTGACTTGTTGGCATTGTCCGTACAAATCATTTTTAAACCAAGTTTAGAATTTAAATTAATCGTGAAATGTACGAGAATAGCACACCGACAGCTATATCGTATATTTAGATTTGAAACAAGAAAAAACGGAATAAAGAGATTTCAGAGTCACTGCAGCAATAGTCATAATTCTGCTACAAAGTGGAGTTGGTTTTATTCGTTTTAAGATTTTTACAATAAATAAAAGACTGACAAAATTAAATCGGCCTCGTTTTGCGACGGCATTAGAGCGTAACGGGGCTTCAAGCACCTGTCATAAGATTTGTTGTTTTATTATGACCAAAAAAACTGCTAAATGTTCAAAGTGACTGTTAAACGAGTTAAGCTTTTATTTTAACTATTTTACTTATCTTTATGTTACATTTTAAAAATCTGGAATGTTACCTAATAGTGCAGCAGTTGCTGAAATAAATTACAATAATTCGAAAGTGAACTTTAAAATATAAACTTAATTGTATTTTTAGAAGTTAGGTAAAAAATACAAGAAAATCTCCAATTTGGAAAATTTCCAAATAAAAGTTTAATATTTAGGTAAATTATAGGATTTAAATCAAAATCAATTTAAAACACCTGTTCTACTAATTTTTTGTGAAAAAAGTAAGAAGCAAATTAAACTTGTTGCAAAAGTAAGTAACAACAGAACACAATTTTTTCTATATCAACTACAAGTTACAATAATTTTTACGTTATTTTATTTTTTGAATTATTGTTAAACTGTGCAGAACCCCAATAAAACTTTAACAACTAGAAAAAAAAATGTAATTCTAAAATCAATAAAAATACATCAAATTTGTTATCAGCATTTAAGCATTCCATGTAACTGAATCCAACCTGTATAATTTATATTATACGTATAAAAAACAAGTATTTAAATAATGACTTTAGTTATTTATAAAACTTATTTGTAATTTCAGACTTATTTTCTAAAAAAAGAACATACTTACTGGGTGTTTCAAAACTTGTTTTTCAGAAAAAAATGACAAGTAAGTTAGAATACCAGGAACATGATAGAAATGTTAAAAAATTCTATAATTTGAAGGTTTCAATTTTATACTTTCACCCTATTTATTTCTGTATGGAAAATAATTTTACATGTTTTTTTTGATGCAAGATATTAAAAGAGGAAAAAAGAAGCTGTGTTCTAAATTGTTACTATGTTTAACGTTATTTGTGGCTTTTATTGGCAAAGTTTTTTATTTTTACTTAATAATAATGAAAAAAAAACATCGGAAACATTAATCAAACATAAAAAAATCCAATAACAATTTTTTTTTGACAAACTTTTTAAACATTTTTTTTATGTTTCTGGTATCTTATCTTACTTGGCATTTTTTTGTGGAGCGCGAGTTCTGAAACATTTTGTATAGTGGGATTTAACCTAAATGACAATCTTTGTACCTATAACCATCAATAAATAAAAATAATTATTCTTTAAAGATTGTTAGGTAAAAAATTCAATTGTGTTATTTATTAGGTTTAAAAAAAGAAATATTAGCAGTTTTCATCACAGATATAAGAAATATCAAACAATGATTTTCTGAATTTTGTTCTATTCTATTCTATGTATTAATTATTTAAAAGCATGTCTAAAAAGCGTAGCGTGTATTGGGTGTTGCAGCCTAAACTGGGTAATTGTTGTCTTAGTTAAATCATCTTGTATAATAGATAAAATTTGTGTGCACTTGAGTGCAAAAAATTTATTTTTTCTATATTTTTTTTCTTATTTCCGTCGTATATAAAACTTGAAATTATACAATACAAAATTATTAGTTAAAAGAACGTCAGGCAACCAATTATACACGTCTTTATAATTCGTTATCTATACTAAAGTTTTAACGATTCTTATAATAAATTTTTCTACTGTCAAGAGATTTGGAAACATAAATTAATGTAAAATTATTTTTGTAATTATCGATTTTAATTAATAAAAAATACCTACATACAATTTTACTACAAAAATTAAATATTTTTTAACGCAATTATCAAATGTTTCTTTTATTGTCCGCCCGTCCACTCAATTAATTTAAAAAAGCCCAACAGCAAGGCAAACAATGCGTTAATTCCAATTACACTCTATAAAGATAAGAGTAGAAGAACGTCCTCCACTCAATAAATAAACTTGATGTTTTATCAAGACAATAAATCAAACATACAAGTTGCACACATGGTCAGTCGTATCAGTAAATTACACCAAATGTCTGTTGTGATTCAAATCGCGAATTTGTATCAGTAAACACATAAATATACACGAGAACACTCCTGTTTTAAAACACCAAATAATGTTGCAAAAAATAATTCTGCTTTGGTGGTTTTTCAGTTTGGGATTTGGTGTAGAAAGTCGAGAATTAAAATTCCCAAAAGGGTTTAAACTGGGGGTTGCTACGGCGTCGTATCAGATTGAGGGAGGATGGAATGCTGATGGTTCGTATTTTTTTGAAGTTATCAAAAATTATTAAAATAAACCAGGAAAGGGAACGAGTGTTTGGGACACCTTGACCCATGACCATCCGGAATTAATCGCCGACCATCAAACCGGTGATATCGCCTGTGATTCGTACCATTTATGGAAGGAGGATATTGCCAACTTAAAAAACCTGAAAGTGGACCATTACCGATTTTCCTTATCCTGGCCCAGAATTCTACCGGATGGTTTCTCAAATGTTATCAATCCAGAAGGGGTCAAATATTACAATAATCTTATCGATGGACTTATTGCAAACAAAATAGAGCCCATGGTCACTTTATTCCATTGGGACCTCCCACAAAACCTCCAAAATTTGGGTGGATGGACCAACCCAATCATTGCAGACTATTTTGCAGATTTTGCAAGAGTTGCATACAAGATTTTTGGCGACAGAGTCAAATACTGGATCACAATCAATGAACCGGCAAGTATTTGTCTTGGTGTTTATGAATACGATGATGGTGCCCCTGCTTTTGTTAAATCGCCAGGAATTGGGTCTTATTTGTGTGGAAAAACAATTTTGTTAGCACATGCTAAATCTTTCAGACTTTATGATACGGAATTCCGAGCTGCACAAAAAGGTTTAAAATGTTTTAAATAATTAATTAATTATTCAAATTGAGTTTTAGGCAAAGTTGGAATCACAATTGACTCAATTTGGGGCGAACCTAAAACCAACCAAAGCCAAGATATCGAAGCAGCGGAGCGAGAAATGCAATTTGGAGTGTGACAATTATATTTATTTTATTTTTTTTCAAAAGAAAATTTTTAGCTGGGTTGGTGGGCCCACCCCATTTTTGCCCCCCAAGGCGACTACCCCAAAATTATGAAAACCATCATAGCGCAAAACAGCAAATCGGAGAATTTTACAAAATCACGACTACCTCTTCTGACTCCAGATGAAGTAAAATTGATTCAAGGAACTTTTGATTTTTTTGGTTTGAATCACTATCACACTGGACTTATTTCTAATAAGAAATTTCCTGTGGATACTTCCCCGTCGTATATAAAAGATAAAGGGACTGAAGTTAGTGCAAATCCGGATTGGAAGCCTTCACCAAAAATTGTTCCTTGGGGATTTAGAAAGCTGTTAAATTGGGTTAAAAAAGAGTATAACAACCCTTTAGTAATTGTTACTGAAAATGGGTATGGAGATGAAGGAGGTGTGGATGATAAGGACAGAGTTTTATTTCTAAAAGTGGGTTTTTATTGCTGGTAGAAAGTGTCGCTTTTCTTTCCTTGTTTTTGTTGTTTGTTTTTTCCGTGATTTTTTCTAAAACTTATTTTAAATTAACCAAATTTGCAAGACTTTAATTTTTTCTAAATTTTGGACAGAATAATTCACATTTTCAGTAGAGCGCAGCAAAAACTCGCTTCAGAACTAATGTACAATTTATTCTTGAACTTCAAAATAATAAGATTTTAGAATAAACATTCTTTTAGCTACTTCTAAACAGCATAAAAAATATGAATAAAAAGTTGATTTTTTAATCATTGAAACAAGAAAGTGTCTTTATACAAAAATATTGATACTAACTAAAAATTTATTTAACTTTGAACATTAAAAATATATTATGGTTCTAATAAATGAGCAGGACCGTTTCATAGAAAGGGGAAAAAAATGTAATTACAAAAAATTGACAATTTGTTGTAAAACAAATAAAGAAAAAAAAATTTTTTCCCTTGCAAGCAAAACTGATGTTCTTAATTAAAATTGTGATTAGATTTATTATTCTGGCAACAGTGATTAGTGATTACTTACCAGGTGAGTCAAGGTTTTTTGCACTCCGCAAACCACCTCTTTTAAACTAGGAAAACAATTTGTTTGATTAGATTACTTTTCTTATTTGCAAATTAATGTTATAATTTTTTTAGTTTATTTACAAAGAGATATTTTGAGGGGTTACTTTATTTAGTTATTGAGTTTTTTTTACAAGTGTATTAAATTTTTAAATGTTTGAAACAATAAAAAACATACGGAACACATTTTAAATAATTTATTTTTTAGTGGAACAAGAAAAGTGTTACTTTTGTTCATGCATTAGACCAAAAATGTGTTAATTAACCAAGTTTTCAAATTTTAGGTTTTTATGGAAGCTTTGCTTTTGGCAGTCCTGGACGATGGTTGCAACGTCAGTGGTTACACAGTGTGGTCCATAATGGACAACATGGAATGGCGTAGTGGTTACACGTAACTTCAATAATCTTCATTAATTAAAAATTAATGAAAACAATTTCAGAGTAAAATTCGGTTTGTATGATGTTAATTTTACCGATCCTCGCCGAGGCAGAAGTCCAAAAATTTCTGCCCAATTTTACCAAAACGTTGTAAAAACACGTACACTTCCTGAAAAATAACCAGTAAAATACTTCCAGAAATACTGAAAACCAAGCAGGACGTAAATACCCTTACTTACTTCACTGAATTCAGAAAAAAATTCTTTAGGATAGGTACTTTAATAAAGATAATAAACTCTGTTCACAAATATTTCTGGAACTACTTCTTCTATAATAATTAATAAAAAACAATTATTACAAAATTACAGTAGTTTCATTTTAAGTCAGTGAACTAAAGGTTAAGCTTAATCGATGGCAAGGGTTGTAGATGGTAAAAAACAAGAAACGTGTTTGATGTTGGCAGGTAGTCGTCTACCTGCTCTAACGAGAGGTATTAACATAATTTGGCCGAAATGAATTCTTTTGTGAATGAAAGTGGCCACAGTTTGAGAAAATAAATTTTAAATCCTTTTTCCTCAAATTTCGAGATGTAATCCTCTAATCCTTTACCTGGCATAATCCACGTACCCCTCGGCCACGCACACGAAGGAAGGGAGCCCTCTGGAGGCCCTCCCAATGCTACTTGCTGTTACATGCCATTAGTTCTGTCCTGACTCGCGTCCTAGCTGCAAGTTCTCCATTTCCCTCAAGTAAAACACGCGCTCTTTGGTGAAGTGTTCAGTCGAGTAAGTATCGTCCAACTTGGTAAAAATAAAACTGTTTTGGTTTCAAAGATAATGTGCTCTTAATTGATTAATCTCGTCTTCGTGGAGCGACGATAATCAGTGTTTTCCAGTTTTTTGTGACTTGTAGTTGGGGTGTCTGGGATTCATGAGTTTAATTTCGCTCGAATATTTTCATCCCCTTTAAGTAGATTTGAATTTTTTTTAGCAAGGGTAGGTACGAATCTGTTATCGCGACTTGTGTTGAAAGTTTTGCACTAAAGATACGTTGCACACGTCGAATTCTATTTTTACCAACAATGTGGTTGTAGTGATGAGTTTTGTGATTCTGTGTAACTTGTTTAATAACAAAAAATTGCAATAGATTGATGCTTGGTAAAAAAGAATAGCAAACATCTTGATTGGATAAATAATCGTTTCGTGAATAAAATTATATCAAATTTGCAAGTGGTGACCTTTACCCTATTTTATTAGTGGCAGAATTTAGCATTTTCTGAGAATTTTTTTAATAATTTGATTGATAACTTTGACGCAAGCTGATATCAATTCAAGAAATTGCTGTTCAATCATTTTCAGCATCATAATTTTTAATACTGTAATAAAAATGAAAATAAAAAATGCTTTTTGACCTTACCTTCAATAATTATTATTTTGGTAGATATTATACTTTAATTTATTTTTATTTTAAATAACTTACAAATAAGCACAAATAGCAATAACATGAGTTAAACACTTACGTATTTATATTAAAATCAGAAACTAGACAAAGATTTGTTACAAATACAAAAAAATTATTAAAGGCAATAAACTTAAAGGCAAATAAATAAAAATTAATTGTAATAAGTATTTAAGTTGAAAGTTCTATTAGGGGCGAATAATGTAAGTAAAAAAATTATTGGAAAAAAATATAGGAAAAAAGTACTTCGAAAACTAATATTGTTTGAAAAAAGAATTTCGATTTTTTTCTTTTGCAATTGGTTTAAAGAAAAACAACATTTTTTTATTTATAGCCAGGTTTTTCCACTTTTGGGTTTATTTACTGTGTCTTATCATATTTGTGTTTTAATTTTTTTAAAAGAGATATCGATTTTCTAGAATTATTCTCAATGATGTCCATTGTCCATATCTATTGTTCCGATAAACACACAGGGAAAAATTAACATTAAATTTTAGGAACTAATAAGAAAGAAATTACATTGATTTTTTTGGAATAGTTTGGAACAGGCTAATAAAATTTTAAAAAATTGTCAACGTCTCGCTGATTTTAAGTTTTTTTAGCTTTATCAAGTAATTTATTGTGTTGGGGAATTACATTATTTTAGTTTAGTCAAACCTGTTAACTAATTGTTATAATAAATATTAAAACAATGATTATAATTTTTAAAATAATGATTCAATGTTTATTTCAACACTTCATTAACAGTTATGACTACCCCAGTAAAATAATGAAGTTCATACAATGTCTTGATAAGAAAATAAAATCACCGAAATGTCGACATAATTTTTTGTTTGTTTGCAAACGTCACAAAAATGACCACTTGGAGTAAAAAGTTTATTTTTGTTTCTTTCTCGTCTCTTTTGCTGCTACAGCAATTTCTGAAGAAGGTCATTGTAGATCATCATTCATCAGCATTGGACATTGCACTACTAACAGCACTAATTAAATTAATAAACACTTTCGAAAATCTCAACACAAATTCCGATACTGACTCGTGATGTTTGTTTATAAGCGTTGTTATAATTTCATTATTTGCAAAGCGACTTGATTATTATTATTATTGTTCATTTACTTGCTCTTTACTCTCGATGTGAATACGTTTGCACATAAAATAGTTTATTATGTTATTCGGAGTAAAAGTGAGTTTATATAGTTCAGTTGAATTAAAAAACGTTCAGCTTCGCCATATAAACTATCATTCTGGAATTAGTTGTACAAATTTTTGGAATTTAATTGGAATTTGCTTGGAATTATTTGGAAGTATTTGGAATTACAATTTCAAATTATCTTTGGATTGTTTGAAATTACTGTAATTACTTGTGAATTACTGGAATTATATCAGAATTACTAGATTTTTTTACAATTGCTGGAATTTTTTTGGAATTACCAGAGTTATTTGAAATACCATATTGATGACGCAACTATTTAAGTTGGAATTACAGGAATTAATTTGGAATTATAGGAATTAATTTGGAATTATAGGAATTAATCTGAACAAAATTACGATGGATTATTGGAAATACTGGAGTTTTGGCGGATTTTTTTATAATCATTGGAATTTCGTGGAATTTTTTGGTAATTGGAATTATACACATTTTTTTCACGTTAACGGCCCCTCGATAAATTATTAAATT